CCCCCGCAATCTCCAAGGTTTGTGATTTGTGTCGTTTCCCCACTCACCTATGTTGATGTGGCTGGAGAAGGCCGGGTTCTGATGACCGTTCATGTCTGTGCTCATCTGGTCACTCACGACACCTCACGAGACTGAGCACAACAGGCCTGTACCGATGTACTGTGCTGGTCACTGGGAGCAGACGATCAGTCAGTGAGTTGTAACAACCGTAATGTCTCTGGCCCTGTGGCCTTTCCTGTGGCGATAATCTGTGGTCAGCTCCTGACAGGGCAAATGAAATCTGGGGAAAGAGGATGAAAAATAGTTTAGGGGGCTAAAGAGGAGGAGGAGGAGGAGGAGGAGGAGGGGTGGGTAATAAGAAGACGTGCAACAACAACAACAACAACAACAACAACAACAACAACAACAAGAAGAATATTACACGAACAAATACAAGACCAAAAAACGGGTGGTGGAAGTAGGTGAAAAGGACAACGCGGTGGTGATTTTTAAAAAAGGAGAAAGAGGAGGGGAAAAGGAGGAGGGGGAGAAGAAGAGAAATTAGGGTTCTGTTAGTAGCTGGAGAAAGGTGTAACAAAGGTAAAAAGAGTGACGTCATCTTTGTTAATAATGTCAGCAGAGACAATAGAGGAATATTTTAGCTAAATCTTTAAGCTGCAAAACCACAACAAAACCCAAACCATGATAATAAAAAAAAACCATCAAGTTAAGCAAAAGTTTCGCTGCTTCGCGGACGGAATTCTAAATTCTTTCCCGATAACGCCATTCTCAGAAACACAAACAAGTTGGACAATCAGAACACATCATGCAACCTCGTCGTGACGGGCGATAACAAAGATGCACTCTTTCCTTATTCGTATTAGGAAAAGTTGTACGGCACTTGCAACACAATAAGGTCATACAAGTGCCAAATATTAGAGGTGTTACAAGAGAGTAACAAACACAAAAAAGAAGAAGGAGAGATCAGGACGATAGAGATTTGATAGGAAAGAAAAGTCAAACCATACCAGAGCACCCGCCAACCACCCACGCTCTCTCTCTCTCTCTCTATCTTCTAAACACATCCTGCAATTGGGCCTTTCAACAAGTTTATGAAAATGATAACTCGGTAACTCGGTAGAGACATGTAGCAAACAGAGAAAACGAAAATAGAGAAAAACTGTACATTAGTGGTAATTATGTCGTGTTTGTTTAGGTGAAGACATTAATTGTTGAATGTTCTATAAAAAGGTGTATGTTTGC